AGAGGCTGGAGCGCGCGCTTGAACACAACATCAGCGCTCCCAAGCGGTATTCCGCGTTCCACGAGGAGAATTTCGAGATGACGATTTTCGTAGGAAAAAAAAGTCGTCTGATCAAGCCGCTGACCCCCAGATCGGGTGAATTGGCCCTTTTTAAGCACTTTTAGCCATCATGAAAATTTTCGAATTCGGCTTCCCTGAGGAGTTATCGACTGAGTTTTGCGACAACCCGGAATTTTGGTAAATTTGTCCAATTTTCAAACCAAAGTTTACCCCTTCCGCGTTTCCCCCAGGAACATGGTACCTGAATTTTTTTTATGGCATACCTCCGCCAGGTTGTCCCGCGTCGAACGCAACCAGGTTGAGCCCGATAGACCAAGCGGTCGCCGAGAAAGAGGCGTTTTCGTGGAGCGACGAGAAAAAAGTGACCGATCATTTCCAAAACGCCCGCAACAGGTGATACTGGCCGAAATCGTCACCGCTGGGGACGGAATTGTGTCAGTCAGGGCGAGAGCTGTTGATTGGTGGGTTATTTCATATAGTTTCATCCAGCCGTTCAAAAGTTAGGAGCGGGACGAGCAGAGGGAAAAAAAGTCCCGACTAAAAATGACCACCCTGTAGAGCGTCGCAAATCGGAGTCACCCGTTCGGGGCGCTCGGCGAGGATTGGAAACACTTGAGGAAACTGATTTGGAGCTAAACCAGACGTCTAATCACGGTATATCTTCGAAACTACACCGAACGACGAGCCCGTGCTCTCTCTGCCGAAGAGCAGGATTCGATCCGGATCGTCAGATCTGGAATCTCCGGGAACAAACCGCTCCACGACTCCCGGAGTTCTTTCGTATGTACCATATATTTCAGGCATGACAACATCCCGACGGTCCGTGTAGTTCGTCGAGGGTATCCCGGTGCGGTTCTGTACTCTCTGGATCACCCTCGTCAACGATTGACTCAAGGCTCCCTTTGACCGCCAGTGAGGAATTCGCGCGGACTCTGATGAGTATCTGTTGCGGAGCTTTTCGAGTCTCGACTGCTTGGCGCTTCATCGCCGCCTTGTTTTGTACTTCGATGGCCGTGGAGCTCGGCAAGTCGGTATGCTTTCCTCTAACATTAATTTCCCCCGTCGCGAAAAATCTATGAACTCGGGCTAGCATTTTTGACTTTCGCTCCCCTTGTACTGACAATGCCAGAACTCTGTCAGTAGATCTTTACTCATCTGAGCAAGCACGTATAGAAGGCCATCGTGCGCTAACTTCTGTTTTCCGCGTTGACTTTCGACAGTGAGTTACATCTTCGTCGCGCAAAAACTTCGCTCCCACCCCACGCGAGGAGATGGGCTGGAAGTCTCCGTGGATGCAAGGCTCGCGTCGGAGTCACGTGGCTAGTGCATACGCATAACACGGAGTACGCACGACGTGCTCGTGCGCATCTTCTTTCGACGTCGGCATTTTTTCTTCTGAGGTCGAGGGTGACCTCAAGCAAAAGTGGTGAGCGGAAATCTAGCTCCGATTTCCGCTGCTAGACTTCCCGGGATGAATCCGGTAGAACACAACCTCCTCCGATGAGTTCGTGACCTTTGTGGCCAGGCACGACAGATCTAGAAAACTCTCCGGGCCGAAATCCCGTCGGGCCGAAAAATCATATAGTCGAACGCTCATGGGGCCGAAAGCCCGTAGGGCCGGAAATCACGGCTAGTGAGCTTATATGGCTCCAAGGTCATTCCGAAGAAAGAGTTTCGGCGGAAAACATGTGCTGATTATCGTCTCAGCGGTTCATCATTGGAAGATGGCTCGGAAATCATTTGTCTCTTGGGAAGTTCTCGCAATCCTTCCTTTAAGGGATCAATTCAGGTCGAGCATGCCTCTGGCAGATCGTATGCTGCGCGGAAAATGTATTTCCCCAAAATGATCTCATTGGTATCCAGCTATTGCATCAGTCGGGCTAGGCGATCATTTAGATCACTCATATTCCTTCCTCAGAGGCTTCGGAGGATTCCTTGCGTCCAAGAACAACCTCTGGAACCTAAGATCATTTTCTTCTTTTCTGAGATGGGTGATGAGTTCATATATGCTCACATGAGCTGCTCTGAGTTTCTGATTGAGGCCACTATGCCACCCCTCGCCTCGATAGAGGACTGCTTTTAGTGGGTATCGGCCTTCGTGCTCGGGTCCAACAGTTCCTGTAAGCCACGAGCGTATCAAGAGACTCCTGGTGCATGTGCGTGCGCAGATGCATTCTTACAAAAAAAAACAAGAGACAGGTACCCGCGGTTCCTTCGGTTCACACATTGTGCGAATCAGCTGGGGGAAACTTATGGCTCCGAGTCCCTGTCAGTGACATTTCCCAGCCGAATAGATGATCTCAAGGAGAGATCGACTCCGATTCTTCCGATCAATATTGTTCATCCTACATACATAAACATAATGCGTACATGCTGAATAGATCTTCGGTCCTGAAGCGCTTCAACGAAGACAGCTATGACAGAAGAGTACATGCTTCTTGACGATTCAAAACTAGCACGGTTTGTGATTTCAGACGTTGTACTCTCGTCTAGAGCTGGCACTGATCACTGATCAGGGTGGAGGTTCATACCGCACGAGAAGTAGGAAAAACACACACAGGGAGTCCGGGTAGAACAACGGATGGCGGACAGGAGTTCATTCTGATATTGAAGGTCCTTTGGTACCCATTGGTTGAGCAATGGACCTGAGGGGGTAGCTATATGTGAGACGTGAGACCCCTATCTATCTGATTGATTCTATCTCGGTGTTCTAATGATTCTAGAATACAGAGGTCGGAGCGTGTGCACGGGACGGAAGGAAAAGACGGTGGAATTGAAAGCTGGGGTTCTGATGCGGCGTGGGTTCGAGGACAGTACTTCAAATGATGAGAGCAGTGTTTCTCAAACTGGGTTCCGCGGAACCCTTGGGGTTCCGTTGCGGATTGCGCGGAACCCCAAAGTCTACCTGCGGGACCCCTACGGAACCCCTTCCGTGGAAGAGAATGTTTGGGGACCACTGTCCAAGAGGGCGGTCGCTCTCTCGACTCTCAAGTTGCTCTCTCTTCCCAGAATTCTTCTGCCAGCCCTTGAGGGCAATCGGGCTTCTACGTCTATCTACGTCGGAAGGAACCCTTCCGGCCTGCGCGCCATGCCTGCGGTATATATTCTCCGGGGAAACCCCTTCTGACTCCTGGAAAACTTCGCGATCGGTGGGGAACCTCTCCAGAATACAATCGGGGGGTGACCGACGGAGTCTCGACACCTGGCTCCGATCAGTGCGCCATAGTCTGACATGAGTGATGGTCTTAGAGATCGGTTTGAAAAACTGGCGCGTTCCCGGTCGTCTCTCGCTCGCCCGAAACGTAATCACTCGGGGTTGCTCCTCCTCTCCAGATGGCTCTCTCTCAATCCGCGGCGGCGGCGGCGCCGGCGACGGCCGCCGTTTAAAACCGAAGTCGAATGAACGGCTAACCTCAGCCGGCACTTTCTTCGCTCAGTTGTCTTCGCTCCGTCGCGTCTTACCCTGTGACGAGACGTTCTCCGTGTTTGTTGACGTGGACGCAGTCGAGTGGCCGAACGAACATGTCGAAAAAAGAGCAAAGCGGCGCTGCCAAAGCGTATCTCACGCTCTACAACTCCGCTCAAACCTTGAGGTAAGACACCTGTTCGTGGATTAATGAGGAAATCGAGCGAAGAATCAACCAATCTCCGAGGTCGTGCCTACAAAATGCTTGTGGCGGCTGGACGGGAGTGGGAAGAGGACTGTCGAGTGTCGACAATGTTGAAAATATCGATTGGAGAATTCGAGACAACATCTCTCGAGTTGAGCCACTGATCTCGGCTCCCGAAGGTTCTCTGTACGCTCTCGGGCATCGTCTTCGCGACCTTGGGAGGGATCAACTCTCTCTGATCATAAGGAATGTATGATGCCCATGATCAGAGAGACTGGATACCTCGTCGGGCTGTGTGAGAAATTTTTCTCATCGAGGATATTCCCGGCCGAGTCGTGCGCATGCCGGATACGAGGGGGAAGGATGCCGTTTCCGAGCCGCGATCCTCGAAGAAAAAAAGAATCGTCGTGCTAGTGACTTTGCGAATTTAACTCATGAACGATGGTGGAGTTCATACCGGACTGTCTTCGATCGAAAAGCAGCTTCGGGACGAAAAGCGCCCAGGAAACGATGTCGCTGCCCTTGCCGTCTCGTCGGGGCAGCTCGTCGCGATAATCCTTTGGAGCAAGATTTTCCTTCTTGCTCGAAAGAAACCTTGAGCGCATCCTGTTGCGTTTCATAACAGCGCGACATCATCGGACGGAAATTCGAATTTGGCTCCGAATCCTCTCCGTTCATGGTCTCTTAGCAGCCGTCCAAGTTTGCACCGCCAAGGTTTCGCGGAGCTCAGGGATCGAAATCCGAAAATGATCAGATTTCCGCGTATACGTTCTCCCAGGCCGAAAGCGTTGGAATTTACCGAATTTCCGTCTCAAATACTTTTGGATAGCGGACTGCATCGGCGCGGATCGAGTCGCTCTGCTGTCCAGGAAAAGGAGGCTCAGCTCTATATTTATTTCCGCGATGTGTCGGGAATACCGCCCCGGCGCAGGATCCGAAAAGATGACCGTGGTCCTGTGAGATTGAGGGTTGTGCCCCATTCCCGGAACCAGGGGCCCAATCCTCTCGACACCGTATACGACATCAGGACGAGCGAGAGCGAAAAATCGGTCTCTCAGTAATCCGACATGAATCTCTCATCTTTTTTTTACAGCTGGACTCTGATCCTTGTGAAGACTCTACTCTACTTCCAAGAAAAAAAATGCTATAAGGGTGCCTTCGAGAACGTGGAGTGGGAGCTAGGAATCGCACAAACCGCAGGATTCCTCGAAGTTGTTCACTGCCTCGTCGGTCTCGTGAGGTGGGTCACCGGTCCGCGATTCTGTGGGACTGAAGGGAAACGTGTCCTTCGAAATAGAAAAGATGCATGCCGATCCAACGAGAATTCCTTTTTCTAGGTCGAACCCCTTCTTGACGTTCATTCAGATCCTCTCGCGTGTCGTGGTCTATTACGGAGTTCTCGTCATAGTTCCAGAGTCGAGAGTGCAAATCGGTACGTTCGCCCGAGAAAATTCTCGTAACGACGACATAAATCACGTCGGGATCTTCTTGGTGTTGCGAAGCTCTAACGAGATTCCTGTCTCTTCCCAGGTCTGCCCATGCTCTTGGTGGCTTGGTGCATCGCCGAAATAACGCGTTACCTCTTCTACGTTCTCGCTCTGTATGACGCCTGCCCTCCCATTCTCATCTGGTGCAGATACTCTTTCTTCTTAATTCTGTACCCAACGGGAGTTTCGGTGAGTTGCCGAACCCATCCAAAATCTCCTGTCGAAATCGCTCGCGAATTCCTGGCTTGGGACTGAGGTTCTGACTTCCGTGATGGTTTGCAGGGTGAACTCCTCTCGATGTACTCAGCTCTACCCCTCATCAGGAAAAGAAGTCTTCTAACCGTGAGCTTGCCGAACGACTTCAACTGGTCGTTCGATTACCATTGGTTCATGATTTTCGTCATGCTTACCTATATTCCCGGTTTCCCTCAAATGTACGGTCACATGCTCAAGCAACGCTCCAAGGTGCTCAACCCGCCCAAAGTTAAATCTCAATAGGTGTCGGACACCATGCTAGGTACCGCCAATATTAACAATATTAGCGACAATGATCGCAGCCAGCTCCGGGAGCATTAGGCAATTATCACAAAGTTCAAGTTGATAAGTGTTGATATCGTGCAATGACGGTCAATGGCGAGCCTGTGGCCGCGAAGCGTTACGTCCAGACATTCCATATTTATCGCGGTGAAGTTCTGAGGAGGCACTCATATACTCTTATGTACATGCGACGAGCGCTCAGGATTCGGAGCCAGATCCCCTGTCGGGCAGAAAAGACAGTTGACATTATTCTGTACTTATATTTTCCAAAGGACGAAATAAAGGGAATTTCGACAGAAGGTAACATATTTCGCTCAAGAAACTTGGGGTGCGGTATGAGAACTTATATTCCCGAAGACCGTGCGCTGAGTTCGTTCTGATTCTGTCTGCCCGAGTCAGCCGAGCTCCGCGGAGCGGCCTATCAGCGATCGGAAGTCTGTCTATAGCCCCTGCCAACAACAATCTGAGCTCGTTGAGTCTCTCGGATCGAATTAACAGGTGGCATGGCCCAGAGACCCATCGATTCTACTCTCGATCATCTTCCACCTAAGTTGATCCCGAGACTGTCAAGAGTTAGCTTCCGACGAGTTGACTGAGCACCTCACGCCAGGACGCTTGCTTGCATCGAGGGAAGCTCTTCTCCATACACTACGGAGCTCTTTCGTCGGTTCGGCAGATAGAGAAAAATGATTTGGGAGGGTCGTCTCGTATATCTCCGTTCCGTGTTTCGCAATCTTGCAGGAAATATACGCTGGTGCGCGCGCTCTCTCTCTTCCTCTCTCAGATATCAGCCTCGGCGAAAAAAAAAGCGACAGTTCTTTCGTCCCACCCGGAAACACCAGGCCTTGAGCTCAAAGGAAATACTGAGAAGCCGCGAGCTTCTCGAACAACACCTGATGCATGAGTTCTCAGAACAGATATACGGGGGACGGATGCTCTCATACACAGTCAGACAATCGTCTCCCGATTCTCGTGGGAGCCGTCAGCCCCTCACACAAATTTTAAGTGCTGGAAAAAAAGTTGATTCGAATTCGAGAAGTGCGGGAGACACTGCCACTACTGGGCTTCCTTCTGAGTGAGTAGAACGACCTCCGGGGGAACCCGTCCTCCGTTCGAGTCGCGACGGCGTTCCGCACATGCCTGCGGAGCGCCAAATAATCTGCTCACTCTGCGGACAGTTTTCTCGCTGCGAGTAAATCTCTGAATAGACGGGAATATTCATGCGAGACGGGAATTATTTCCGGAGACATGACCCCGAATGTCCTAACGAGCCGTCGAGCCGACGCACGGGATGTCTCGTGCTTCGCGCAGGGCAGTCCTGTAGACGATTCTCACCAAGGACTCTTTCCGGAGGCACCTGGCGAGAATACTGCGCATGGTCGATAGCCTGTCCATCCCTCATCATTCATCAAGGTTCCGCTGCTTCTTCGCTCGTCTCCCGCACAGTCGAACTTCAGACTCGGAGTAAGACCGACCCTGTCAGCCGCAACTCATCGAATGTCGCTCATCAATTGTTCTCTAAGAAGACGGTTTCGACGGAGGAACTTGCCCGGACCTTTTATTTGTTAAGAGCCTAAAATTCACGTCGCTCGTCATGCGGAGTCAGACAACTTTTTCGGCTGTTTCGACAGGCGCTGATTCAGCAGCCCGAGTAATATCCGACTTTCTATTTAGTTATTGCTCACGCGAGGTCTAAGGTTCAGAGAGAATACATCCGGATTCGAGGCAAGGCTTTGAGTGAGAGGCTGGTATGAAAAGCACGACTCTCGCCCCGAGAGTCGGTGCAACAGTTTCTTCCTGCAGATGGCATCCCAGGCCGGAACCACGGCAGTCCTGATAGAAGAGAATCATAATGTTCGATGAGACCTCCACTCCTCAGAGAGATGTAGTTTCCATGCTTGTCGACTAGCAATGTCGAAATGCCTTGGTACTGTTCTTGTCTGCTCGAAGCCTCTCGGAAAAATTCTGACCCTCCAAATATCTCTGAAGCCATTTGCGGGAATCATGATGGATGGAATTCTACCTTGGGGCGGATCTGAGGGGGACAGTGCTGGAGGAGAGCGACATTTCAATTTCGTCTCATGGTATAGATTGCGATCAACATTGAGATGTGACGAGCCTAACTTGCGGAAATTGTCGGAAGTGCGTGTGTTCTTACGGGTGGAAGGATAATGATGATTACAGGGGGCGAATTTCCGTCTGTCGCCCCCGGACGCCATCAAAGCTAGGTCCGCCACTGTTTCCACAGCAAGGAGAGGAAAGACAAAAGAACGCTTTTTCTGAGTAACAGTTTTTATGTAAACTATCGCCTCTCTCGAGGAAGATGCGAACGTTTTTCTCCAGGAGAGAAAGCCCCAATCCAAGGTTCTCTAGCTAAGAATCCACGATTTCCTTGTCCGTGTCCCCACGCTTAGCGTCCGATTGCTTCCAGGGCCGGGCTCGCTGATGTAGGATATTCGCGAGGAACTCGTGCATAAATTAAACGCGGCATCTCCTCGCCACTCCGGCGTCGCTCGGATTACAGTATGTAAGTCATCTAATCGTATTTCTTGGGCGTGAAAACGATCTTCCGTGTCTTCAACGAGGACCACTTGCTACGCTTCACGACCCAGGTCGCCACGAACAGGACGCTTATTACGGGGAAGATTCTCCAGAAGATTCGCTGACGCTGATCGTGTTCAGGCTCCGTGGCCCACTTCAGGAAACAGCTGACATCCTTGGCCAGTTGTGAGGCTGTGGCCGGAGTTCCATCAGAGTACTCGATCACTTCGTCGTACAGCATTTGCGGCATGCCGATGGCACCTCCAGGGAAGTACGGGTTGTAGGCTTGACCCTCACTTATGGTAACGCCCGCCGGAGGATCACAGTATCCGGTGAGCAAGGCGAACAGGTAGTCCTCCTTCCCATGTCGGGCATTCGTGATGAGCGACAGATCAGGGGGGTACGCACCGTTGTTCGCGTGACGAGCGGCCTCCTCGTTCGGATAGGGTGGCTGGAAGAGTTTCCAAAGATTCAATCATGGTTCTCCTGGTATTCCATGCGATGAGCGATTATCGCTCGATTTTCTTTCGTCGATCCAAATTGGAGGAGGATTGGCGCAAAAGAGAACTCACCTGGAAGAGATCTGACAACTTCCCTGGCCTCTGGAACATCTCGCCCGACTCGTCGGGCCCATCCGTGACCATGACTTCAGCGGCTTCGGCCTTCGCTTCTTCTTCGGTGTGTGAAACTCCGACCAAATTACGGTAGGCGATATACTTCAAACTGTGGCACGCTGCGCAAACTTGTTTGAACACCTTGAACACATGGGAATGAGCTCGCTTCCATAAGATTGTCTCGAGTGACAGTTCCCTCTCCCACACATGACCCCCCTATTGTGCACCGATAGTGGAGATCTCCCCTCAGAAGCGGAAAGCTCACCTCGTAACCGCGACGGATCGAACGTGCGTCGAAACTCTCTATCCAGTCACCGTGGGGCCATTGGTACTTCGGGGCATGCGCTACGAGTTCCATCGCGCTCACCGAGTTCTCGAGGGCATAAAGGACTCCGGCTGCACCGAAGCCAGCCGTACCCAACAACGAATACATGACTTTTCTGCCGGTAGAAGGTCCGGATTTCGTAGAAACGTACCGTAGGGACTGGTTTTGAGCCACTAGTCGACCACTCCGGGCTAGAGTCGTGAGGGCCATTTCTTGAGCTTCCACGGGCCACTCTGGAAGGACAAAAGAAGGATATTAGGGGCTGCGTTCCAGCACCGCAACGGGGGCACTTCGGAGGACGTATCCCTGCGGACTTCACTTCTTGGGAGAGGGCCCCTAATCGCCCGTGAGATATAACTCTGTTCTCATTCAATAACCTTCACAAGTTGAAAAACCTACAGCACTAGAGAGGACCGCCGGATGTTGACATCTACCGAAACCACTCGCACGGCGGTCTGCTCGCGGGCTGAAACAAAATATTTCCGAAGTTCGTAGCTGCTCAGGCCGCATATCGACGTGCGCGGATCGGCTGTGACCGGAGCTCTGCTGGACAAAGAGACAGGATACAGCCCACCTCGATGCCTTCAGGATTCTAGATGATCAGGCCGAGTCTGCATGTCGATCACTCCCTGGGTATCTCTGGTGAATGAACATCCATCAGAACGTGCCCGAACTTGCTTAGGGTGATTCAGCTACTCGCTGAGATGCCACTCCTTCGAATTGTCTGGTCCTAAGAACCTATACATTTACATCTGACCAAACTTTCACGAATTTCTCCCTATTTGATGCTTCAAGAGCTTCAATCTGACGCTACCTGCGTCGGTTCGCCGGACGGGTCCGTTTCCTATTCAGTGATCGAGTCTCGAAAATTCAATATAATAGGACTAGATCTCCAGACACTGGATCTGGCAGAGCGCAACCTCTCAGGAGCCGGAATCTTCAGGAGCCGTCAGGATGCCTAGGAGGCTGATTTGCATGAGTCAGCTATCACGGAAGCAAGAGATCTGATAGACTAAGAATCGCAGCGTCTTTAAGCGATCCTTCCCATGCTTCTCTCACGCCTTGGGAGAGTCGATATCCGCGTTCGTACGAAATACGCGGGAGCTCCGTGGAGCCCAACAGCGAGCCCGGGGAGTTTCAGTCCGTCGAGCCCCGTCAAGTTTTCCCCTCCCGTCTCCAGCTGATCCCGCGATATGAGATGATAATCCACGAATATTATTGACTTTCATATCAAGACTCGAGACAGACGGCACGGAGTCCTAATCTTGATGGAGTGCGAAGCCTCAGAGCTTCTCGAAGAACGATATCAGCTCTAGACGTCTCGGTCGATTCTCTCAGCTTGGTTGTTGACTCCAGTCGTTCATCCAGAAGGAGTCCTACCGGTCAGCCTGCAGATGCCGCAGTGCCATCCGATTCGCGGGCAACGCGGGCGGGACATGACAGTAGCCTCGACCGCGCTCACCGAAACACATGTGCGCGAATTCGATAGACAACATTGCTTCGGCAGAAGCTACGAACTCATCTTTCCCCTGACTGAGTCCGATTCGAGTTCTGGAATGGCGATGGCCTGAACTCCCGGAGCCTCCCCCGCAAGACTCGAGTCTTCTCCATCAACGATGTGTCTGCTGAACGCCGATGCTGCCGCTCAGCGATTTCTCTTGCGATTCTCATACATCGGCTCACGCTACAACGGGCTCCAGCGTCAGAGACCCCGAAATTGCACAGGTCCCGACAACTCGACGATACAAGGCGTCTTAGAGGCCGCTATGGACAGATGCTTACGGCTCCGGTTACCAGTGAAGATCTTCCCATCATCCCGGACAGACCGTCATGTCCATGCGGACGTGAATGCTGCACATGTAACGTTGTTTTCTTACCCGGGTCATGCTGTGGGAGCGGAGATGATCACGAAAGTCGTCAACTCGTACCTAAAAAGAACGAATCATGACATCGTTGTGCGGAGCGCCATTCAAGTGCCATACTGGTTCAACTGCAGGGCAGAGGCGCTCTGCAGGACGTACGAGTACAGGGTGGGTCTGCTGAAAGACTCGACTACAGGAAACCGCAATCGCGAGCTCGAACCTCTGACCCAACATAAGAGATGTTTGTTGATGAACCGCGAAATTGATGTGGAGAAGGTGCAACAGGCCTGCGCACTTTTCGAGGGATTTCACGACTTCGTGAATTTCCAGAGCATCTCGACTGATTTCAGGGAAACAAAAAGATGTCTTGAGGAGGTGACATTCGTTCCGGACCATAACGTCAGTCATCTCTGTGACTACAGTGAAAGTTTCACCTGGTGGAAGTTCAACGTCATCGGCCGCTCATTCCTCTACAAACAAGTTCGACGGCTGGTCTCAGCGGCACTGCACGTTGGGCTGGGTGTCATACCCCTGGAAGAGGTTCGTATTAATCAGGTGGATAGTGAGGACATCCCGGCTCCCAAGTCCTATGGGGGGAAGCGACCTCGCCTCTTGAGCGGGTAGCTCATCTCGCGACGAAAATAATTCGAATGCGATTCGTTCCAGGTCACTCAAATGCTCAAGGAGCCGCATCGGAAATCCTGGAGCTCGAACGTAGGCTTACTCCATGGCCACGCTCTGACTCTGAAAGATATAGAATACGACCCGAATTTATTCAGGGTGGATTTGGAAGCACCGATGTGGAGACCTCCCATGCCTTATATGGGGAGATCGACTGAGTCGCCCGAAGCTGTGGGCTCCGACGTGCGAGAATCCGAAATGATTAATGTATAAAGGCTGTCTTGATGCATAATTATCATGCCCGGTTCTTGAGAAAACTCCCTGCATGGGGCGACAGTAGTTATCTCTTCCGCGAGGCGATTCGAGCCCGAGCAGCATGCTAAACTGAAAATCCTTGAGAATGAATTAGCGCTCGAGAGCATCTGTGACGCCATGATCCCTCGATTCGTGTCGGAATTCTATTTCTTTTGAACGTCTCGGGGTGTCCTCGGCCCGACCGTCGCCCTCACGATCCTGAGGAGGCGAAACCTAGCGGTACGGTGCGGCTTTTCAGACCGTGAGGCAGGATCATCAAGGAACCGCAGGAGGCTGCCGCAGTGGGTTAAGCACTTGCCGGATTTCCAATTTCTCTGCGCGGTTAATTCAGAAAAGCGAAACTCCCGAGGCTCTGCATGGGTTCAGGAGAAAGATATTCCCGACCGGCCAAACTCATCAACCCGCTCCGCCTCCTTGTAATCACTTGAGGTAGCGCCGCCCAGATTCTAGCAGACAGAAAGTAGGTACTATCATCAGCGAGCGACGCTTACTGTCGCCGTCTTAAATTCGGACGCTTGCGTTGAGGAAATTTCGAACGGCCAGCTTGCGGAGATATCAGTTAATCCAGAAGTTTCCAGTGAGTCCCTCCGAGATCCGAAGGAAGAATCACCGATTCGAGCTGATCCTCACCGTGAGCGAAACGATCGCGTTCGTCTGCGAGGTCTGATGGCGCCAAGCGGCGCGGTCCTCTCTAACATGTCGATCGCGTTCCATAAGTTGTACATGGGATGCTTTTGACATCATTTCTGGATGGCCGACCATCCCAGAGGTGAGATAATTTGCTTTCATTGTCACCGGAGCGAGCGACGACGTTTCCGGAGACTAACTCGGGATTCAGATCTCGAACGGTCTTCGCAACCGCCGCATGGCTGTGTCGGGATTATCTGACAGATCTTCCAGTGATTGTGCTGCGTCCGTCTCCTCCGACGCAGCCCGTATTCATCGGGGGAGCCAGGATTTTGCGTGGAGACGTTCTAAAGGAAAGATATTATCTTCTAGAGCGAATCCATCACCAAGAGACGTCTCCTCTCCGTGAGCGGTAGTTCTTGGAGCTCGTGAGGAGATCCATGGAGGCTCAACGCAAATTGGATCAGCTGAAAAAGCGTTTGATCTCATTCCGTCATGGGAAGCTGGCTTCTATCGAGGAAGTACGGAAGGAAGACCCAACTAAACCGAGCGGGGGTGTAGAACCAGCGCTGAAGAAATTGAAGAAATCCTCCACTAATGGTTCGTTGGAAACTCCGAAAGCGGACTGGGATCCTGATAAGGGTAAGTTCTACGATCAAAAATTAATGTTGGTTTCGTTTCTCTTCGGGAAGGAGCCGCTAATCGAGCGAACATTTCAGAATACGAGGTTGAGAAAATCAGAGACGTTCACTTGGACGACGCCGGGGAGATGTTGGTGCTCATAAAGTGGAGAAACTGGTCGTCGAGGACAAACACCTGGGAGCCGCTGACGAACATGACATGTTACGAGAAAATTATCCGATTCTTGCAGAAGAACTCGTACGACGACTCGTACATTACAGCTCTCATGAGTCATTACGTATTGAAGTTCTTATATTCGCCACTCATCAACTCTCGGATCATGTCCCGTCTCCTCGGCTACGACTTGAGTTTCGACGAGTGTACCAAGCTCGCGAGTCACGAAAAGTCGGGTCTGAGAGAAGCTCTCCGCAAGTTAGATTCAAGGACCCTACGGGAAAATATATTGAAGAAGTAAGTTGCTAAGTACTACCCGAACCCTCGGCTCGCGATTTCTGTTGCTGAGCTGGAGCTCATGAGCGGAGGTCTACGTTACAGCTTCGAAACAGAAACGAACTTCGTGCGTTTCATCGATGGACGAGAGCCGATGTGCCGGCGACTCCTGGAGCTCCATAAAGCAACCAGACTCGCTCTGCCGAACGAGGCTCCGATCTACTTCGAAAATCTCGTAGACACCGATGTGCCGCCGGCCGACTTCACATTCATCCAGGTCAGTACCCCCGATTCATTCGACAACCTTTCCGTCATATCCAATCGAGGGAACCGGATGTATCGATCTATCATCACTCATACAGGACCGAATTCCTCTCTCCAGGATTACATTCTCGACCGCGACTACGTTCCCCAATCGGTCGCCATCGGTTGCTCGTGTAAAGAGTGTGGAATGGACGATTGCCAATTATTACATCAAGATTGTGACGCACAGCGGAACTATTTACCTGACGGCCGGCTCGGGAAGTGGGCTCGAACTCGCAGGGGACCGATATACGAGTGTAACTCAGCCTGCCAATGTCCTAAAACTTGCTACAACAGGGTGACCCAGGTGAATAGAGACTGGCCCGAGTTCCGGGATCGAGATATGGAGCAATGATTTCTGTCAGGCGCGGCCAAATCATTACAATTCCTTCCCAGCGAGGCCGGACGGCGGAAGTCGTGGTCTTCAAAACCGCTAACGACCGCGGTTGGGGATTGAGAACGCACACACCCATCAAAGCGTGGACGTTCGTCATGGAGTATCTAGGTAAAATCGTGACTTCGGAGGCGGCTCGAAATAGCGAGCCCACTTATCAGTTCGAGTTGGACTTCAACGTTGAGAAGGAAGCCGCGTTCGTCGTTGATGCCATCTCAAGCGGCAACGCAAGTCACTTCATCAATCATTCTGTAAGTACTAATTTCACTTGGAAGGGAGAGTGACGCTGTCCGATGCAGGATGCCTGCGATTATTATTTTCCGCTGGCGATCTTGAATCATCGGCGAGAATATTTTTGATCGATTCGTTTTCCGTTCCAGTGCAATCCTAACATGGTAGTCATCAATGTCTGGGTCGACGATCTCAATCCTCAGAAGCCAAGATTAGCGTTCTTCGCGTGCAGAGACATACAGAAACACGAGGAACTCACATTCGACTACAACCTGAAGGCCGATCCGTCGAAGTTGAAAAGTGGCATGAGATGCCGTTGTAACGAAGCCAATTGTCGAGGTCGAATGTGAGACGTTCGCGAGTTCCTCGCAATTCATACACGCGGTTCCGGGGAGGAGAGAGTCCTCGATTAGGAAATTTATACGACTGAGTTTCGCGTCATATGGATCGTGTGGAAGGCGATCATTTTGTTGTTTACGGAGCCAGTGTTCTAGAAGCGAGCTCGGATAGAATCTCGCAAAACGGGTCATTGAACGTGAGGGCCTCACAAACTTATCTCATCTAAATAGAATAGACTTATGCTCAGAATTTCTTTCTATGTACTCCTAATAAAACTCGTACCTCGAATAATGACCTCCTCAATTATTTATGCATTCTTCAGTGGAGGCTCACAAAGACTGCCACCTCTATCCCTGATTGTTTGACGCCGGCTCAGAAATTATAAAATTCCAGTGAAACAGAATAAGGTATAATTTATTTCTCGTCATCACAACATCGATCTGAGGTGATTCGAACGAAGAACGCATTGAGCATATATTAAATCGGAAAGCCCCTTCTTGCGAACACAGCTCCATCGCCCTACTCTTCTGGTTTCTCGGACTCTTCTGTTTTTGAGGAGGACTCGCTGCTTAGACCTAACATGTCGCTCAGGAGGCTCGGTGCAGAGGCTATGATCGATCTGATCCAGTCCGGATTCCGTACCGCTAAGGATACCAATTTCTTGGCACTCGGCTGCAGTTCGAGATCTGGAATCACCTCGAATGTCTCAGGCTTCGGGACGAGCCTCTGCAACATGCCAAGAATCAACTCAGGACTGTCATGAACGAGTGTCGGAACCGGATGCTTCCGAAGCAGGGGCAAAAGCTCTCCTATTGAGACCGGGCAAGTCCCGTTATCGGCTTTCATTGGTTCGGTTGTGGCTTCATTCGTCACGTGTCTTCGGAGATCACCGACCGAGAAAGGCATCGATGATCCCAGGTCGTCGTACTTCATCGAGAAATTTGATTTGGGATCCAATGCGGTCTTCAACTGAAAACGGAATCGAGTGTCATCTCCGAGCAGGATTCGAGAATGCTCGCGCCTCCATGAATATTCCAAAAGCTCTCGCATTTCATCGAGGAAGCGCCGTCACCTTTTCTAACTCCTGTAGCTCTTCTTTCGTACCAACAACCACACGGACGGGCCCGTCCCCCTCTGCCAACAGAGCCGTCATCGTCGGCGGCTCAATATGGTAGCGTTCTAAGTCTGCACAAAGATCATTCGCCCTGATTAGTATCCAGATAAACGAGGTCGGCCCACGTGAATAGAAGTCAAACAATGAGAGCCGAGAAGAGCGAGGAAATTTCAAAACATATTTTCGATGCGAAAGGAATCCCATCGATCTGAAAACTCACCTGGTGGCGTTTCCTGAGGACTTCGTTCACTCCGATCAGCCCCCCTGAGGAAAGCCGGTAGTCTGAAGGAGATCGAAGGGCAAACCAGGATCATCAAGACCGCGAAGCTGATGGCCCTCATCATGAATTTCCTGAACTCCCTTGAAGGAACGAGATTCCCTGGATCAGTGCCAGTGGGTCACTTCCGAGGTATACTGCGAAACACGGTCGGCGGCCTGCAGGTCAGTCTTCGTGCTGGTTCGGTACGAGATCGGTTCGGATGAATGACAAACAAGAGTCTCCAGGGTCGCTAAGAGCGAAGGTCATCGTCGCCTCTGATGTACACCTTCGCCAAGGAAGAAAGAGAAGTGTGAGGGGCAAAATTTCGAGATGCACCCACGCGAAACGGCACCCGATGAAAGTGCTGCTCCGCTCTTCGATTCTCATGGGGGTGCGATCAATCGGGGCAGGCTCGCGTCGCACGCTCTCAGTGATTAGGAGAAGCTTTGCGGATTGTCTTCTGAACGTGATTAGAGGAGGTTCCCATTTTGGATTGAGACTTAGCTCGAGCACCTCCATGTAAACTCATCGTGTCCTCCGCTCTTATTAGGGGTCGAACCCCGTCTTCTTTTTGCCTTAGGGAGAGGCACACAGAACCCCGTATCGTACTTAGGGAGAGGCACACACCGATCGGTGGGATGGGACGGAGGACTCCTGGCTGGTCCCTCCCGTATTTACTTTCGCCTAATGGCTCTCCCGTCCACCTATCCCAATCCGTATCGGAGACATGAGTTCTGGGCTGGAATGCAATCGTTTGGATTCGATCATGGGCGTGAATCACCAAGTCAGGAGGCCAGAATCACGAGAGGTCATTCCTTCGTTCATTGATTATATTGTTGACGTCGGTGCGGCGTCGGGCTGGGTTGGGCCTGGGTGATACGTGCTCTTGATGATTCCAATCCCATTTTCGGAGCTTTCACCGCACCATCCGCCGAATTAATACCCTTGGTCTAAGCGCTCCTCTAAGAGTGTGGGTCGCATCGAAACTCTTGGGTGGGCGTCAGAGGGGTTCGGCTTGATTAGCGATGCAAGGCAAGACACCCAAGCTAGATCGCGGTTGTCAGAAAAACGGTGAAACCCTAGAGAACCGAATCTGTTCCACAGAGCTAACTTAAAGTTCGTTCTCGTGCAGCGTCAACTTGGAGGTACGGTCCCGCTGTTGCCTTTCGAGTTTCTCACTGTTGCGTTCCGCACTAGGCATCATAGAGGGGGATCGAGGGTTCGAATCCCGCCTCACGAGGGACTATAGTTTCCGGGGAGGAGACGGGATTCGTTCCTTTATCGAAAAAAATTCGTTCTCGAGAATGTTCGTCGAACTATCACTGTATGTTTCAAAGGACATATGTTTCCGAGTAGGCCGAAGTAAGGTAGCTCGATTATCAGCACGGCGGAACGTTCCTCGAGGGCGCTACGAGGGGAAACAAACGCTCGATTCACGGAAAGACATGACGGCTCTGATATCGAACCGAGTTTATCGGGAAGATTCGGATTCCCCCCTCAAGCTTCCCCATGATCCGACTGGACGTCGTAGCTGATCGTCCTCGACAAGAAATTCGTCTCGCAAACGGGCGTGCGGAAGGAGCTAGTCTGCTCGTGATTGTGAGCCCCCTTCGACTCTTCCGGACTCACTTTCGGTTCTTCCGCCGTCTGCAAGTAGCCCCGCTCTGTGCTCGTCCAATTAGGACGGGAGTACGCAAGCCTGCTTCTGAGTTTCTCCCAAGGAATATGACATGAATCGATTGCCGAAGACGTCTCCGGCATGCGCTTCGAGGGAATGAAACTCTACGAAAAATCAGATGTGACGGCATGGTCGAATAATCGAGGTGTTTAGTGCAGCGTCTACGACAAATACTGAATTTATTATATTACGATCTGGATTGGTTGCCGCTTTCATCACCGCCGGCGTAAATTACAGATGGTATTGGCCTCTTTCTTTCGATGGGTCACAATCTCAAAGGCAGGTCTCATGCTATCATGAGGTAGCATGGCCCGGCCAGGCACGAACGATTCGAAGATCCGCGATCGAGCACTATCCCGAAATCACGGGACATCAACCTCCGACAACGTCATCTGGACCAATTGGGGCGGGAAGAGGGGCTCCTACGGAGACTGACTAGAATTTCCAGGTTCAGGCAGAACGCCGATCTCCGGGACCGTCTGTGCATCCGGCGGCGTTCCCGCTGGGGGATCCCCTTCCGTCATCGGTGCCGCCTTTTCGTCCACGGCTTGAGGTTCATCTGTCGACCCAGAACCCCAGTTACTTTACTGCTTCTCATGCATAGGAGAAGAGAAATCTAGAGATATCGCTGGAAGCTCAGCTCACCGTTGAATTCATTTCCTGGGGAGTCGAATCCGTCGAGGTCGTCATCGAACATTCCTTGAGCGTCGTCGTCCTGGGTAGACCATATTGATAATATACATTAGATTATATGCATAGATATAGGACATAATTATCATACATTCGACAGTGACAAAGATTGATATATCGGAGTATGCTGAATCCGTGAAGTACTTGCCTCGGGGTCATAGGGTCCCTCTTCGGGATAGTCTTCATCGTAGTATTCGACATCTCGGTAGGGCTCATGGACTTCCTTTATGAAGTTGATACCATGCGTACCTTTATTTTCGAACCAATCAGAAGCTATGCCCTGCACCCGACCCGCGATCGAGAGCACGATTGAAGTGAATAAGAAACCTTATCGGAAGGCGAGACAATAATAATTAGACTCCAACGGAAAGGAACAAAACGGTAGCAGTCGGGTCCGATCGATAGAAGAGGATGGAAGATGAATATTGAAATATTTTGCACCCACCGAGAATTACATCGTTGATGGCCTGGTCAAAGATTCCAGATACGCCTCTCGCAGTGATGTTGCCAGGAGGTGCGTCGAATTTTCGCTGAGCCGTCGGAATCGGTCCTGCAGACACGCCAGTCAAAGCGACGATGATTTTCGTGAAGAGCACAGCGGAAATCCACATTTTCCGAAAGCTGTGACTCGTCCTAGCTCTGTCCTAGATAATTCTTCCCTGAATTATTCTGATCCTGCAGAAGATTATTCGAGAGTGGCCGAAGCGCGAGTTCCGATTTGAAGCGAGTTGAGCTCCAGGTCAGTCTTCGTGCCGGACGAGATCGGTTCGGATGAATGACAAACAATAGCCTCGAGGGTCGCTAAGAGCGAAAGTCATCGTCGCCTCCGATGTACACCCTCGCCAAAGAAGAAAGAAAAGTGCGAGGGACAAAATTTCGAGATGCACCCCTACGAAACCCCGCACGGTACCCGATGAAAGTGCCGCTCCGCTCCTCGATTCTCATATGGGTGCGATGAAAGAATAAGAAACACTTCACACTTTCTTCCTGAAAACATGCGCGATTTCGCGGAAATTCCAATCAGGGTACGATCCTCTGAATCTCCCGTGATCTTCACAATGCAGGGTCAGCGACTTCTCCTGCGACCTAACTTCACCGTTATATTCGGACCCTCAACGATTCCCAGCAGCTGAGGGTGATGGACGCAGAATCGACACTGACCAGTTGATGGTCTCGGGGAAGTCTCCAGTGAAAATGACCGTGCGAGATCCGCCCCTCTATGTTCACAAATCAAGGTTCAGAATCGAGACGGAAACTCTCGATACCGAAGTTGCGACGGATCCGTCTCCGCTCATGTATCGAGGGCGACCGACATCGTTATGCTCAATTACTTCGGCACTGAGTCCCTGTTCCCCACTTCGACAGCACAATGCCATCTTCGAGGACTTGCACATCTTCCGTCGTCAAAAACTTGCTCAATAGGCCGTCCTACATGCATGTGAAGGCGGATGCCTGCCAGGAAGAGACTCACATAACATATCATCGACGACAGTATAGACAAGGTTCCGCCCTCGCGACTCGCGAGTTCTTTGCTCGCGTTGTGGCTCCTGTTCTTACCTCGTTAAGGGAAGATATGATTGCACCACTTGAGGGCTCAAAAAAAATCCGACTTCAAGAATCGGTGCGGTGCATGGTGGAGAGGAATCGCCATAATTTGAAACTTGAATGGTTTTCCGGCGGGATTTGGGAGCAACTCCGTCCCCTCGCTGCGGCGACTCCCATCGGCCCGGACAATCTCGTACGCCGTCAACGCCGATATGCTATGCGATTCTGCCGAATAAAATGAAAGAGACCTTTTGTAATGTGAGTCGCGAGGTGATTACCATACGAATGAACTCTTCCACTACTGCTCTGCTGGAGGAATCGTGGTCGCAACGGGCTCCCGCTGGCAATGTCCCTCCTTTCCAGATGCTCCGGTACCGTAGTGATGCGGATTTCGCCCCGGGTGTGAAAATGATAGGCGCACTAGCATTCATACCGCCCGACCGCCTGGAAGACGCACTGAAGAAACTGAGAAACCCCCTAACCGAATGATTCATCAGCCGTGCTCGAATACTTCGAGCATAACTATATCGGTCGTCCTCGATACATGAGGGGAGACGGGTCCTTGCAACGTCGGGAGCCAAGATTCCCCGTCCCGATTTGGAATGTTTATCAAAGGACACTGAGGGGCGAATCCCGCACGAATAACTTCGTGGAAACCTTCCACAAAAGCCTCTAGTGTCAATTCCGTGTAGATCACCCCGGCCTACTCGAACTCATTGATGGTATGCGGGGACGACAGCAGAGTGAGGACGCGGAGTATGAAAGATACGTAGCTGCACAACATGAGCCCGATCGTCGCAGCCGCTATGTGAAGAACGACGAGCGCATCATAAGAATCGTTCACGATATCGAGAATCGTACGCTGTTGGAAACACTCCGCGGAATCGCGCACGTCTAAGAGGAAGAATAAATGAGAGCACGACCCTTTCTGAATGAACATCCACTTCCGTTTTGAGTCGTATCATTGATTCATTGATTGAAACGTATCATTGAACCGACGCCCAATCTCCGCACATTGCTCCTCCCTAGGGTGCTTGCACTTCAACATCCTGAGTGATAGTCCTTTGATATTGGGATTTGTAGCCCGGCGTTCACTCGCGCCTACTCTTCAGATGTCGCCCGGCGTGTATGCGTCGCTCCCGACCGCTCGACTTTCAGCGTCCTTTTGTCGCTGCCGACCGGTTGTAATCCGGCGTCCTGTCGTCGTTGCCAACCGGCTGTCGCCCGGCCACCACTTGTCCCGGCGGCGAATGAACGTGTACCCCGCTGCTTCGTCTTGCGCCCAGGAATCTCCGGAGCGTCTGTGACGAGTTTTTTGCGCAAGAAGAAACGACGCGGCCCTGATCCTTAAACAAACAAAAGAGGGACTAACTAAATCTTCGCTTATCCAGATGGCAGAATCCCTGGCTAGATCAAACTTCTTTGCCTTCTCAGATTTAGCGGGCACAGACGCTTCCTTGTTCGAGACGGACGTCTTCCAGGACTCCAGCAGTGTGCTCGATCGTTTACCTGTATCCGTCACATTTGGATGCTGACGGGCAACATGGTTGAGCCGGGTTTCGGTTCCCGTGTTTTGACCATAGCCGCAGAGCATCCCCTTCTGTCTTCTGTTCGAGACAGAGTTTGCAAAAAACCTTTTCTGGCTCCGCTCTATTGCCGGATCGAAGAATGAGGTGACCGAATATACGCCGCACCTGAGTTGATCGACAGAATCTCAGAGCGATCTGAAGACGCATATCTCTCCTCATTCTCGTATCAAGACCCCTCGTTGACGTACCTTTGACGGATATTTGGCGACGTTCGACTTATGCAAAACAACCGCAGAATTTTCGTCGGGTGAAGCCATCTGCTCCTTGAGGAACCCCGAAACTTTCTGCAGCGACGATTCGGAACGAGGCTGCGAACAATATTTGGGAGCTATTGGATCCGTCGCCGTAATATGAAATCGTTTCGACATGCTCGAAAATCTCCCATCAGATTACAGACGTTCTTCTCGGATTAACCGAATGATCCAGGCAGAGCTCTCGATCGTGTTCATTCAACGTGACGTTCCGCCCGTCGGTAACTCATACGAAGCGATCATTACCAGATGTGACGAACTTCGGCGCCAGGAAGAGATAGATTTCAACACTTCAAAGACCCACGAGTCCCAAAGTCGGGCTCCTCTTAGCCCCCTTTGAAGCGTAAAAATCAGCCGTCCCAACAACGCGTGTCTGGGGGCACAACGTTCGGAAATCAACACCTAGAACAATTCGAACGATCCGATTCTCCACGGAGAGACTTTCCCTAAGGGGGAGAGAATAATCGATGTGCACGTTGCATACCGATTCGACACATGCGCATGGGCTGGCAAAATCAGTCGCGGGTAGGTTTTCAAGTCGCGTCTCCACACTTCAAGAGCACACAATCGAAAAACAGTGAGTCATTGTGTTTTTTACTGCTTCGATTTCCGTCAATCCTTCGCAGCCTGCCCTAGATCGTTCCGAGTTATTCGCTCATGCGCTGTATGAATTTCACTGTGTCTCGTGAACTCTTCCGTATTTTCTCGTGAGATACGCGGTAGATGTCTCGCGCGGGAGGCGTCAGCGATTCGTCATCCGAATTCATGGAAGAGTCAAAGATTTGGCGCTCGTCGGATACTTGGACGCAGCGTGCAGTCTCGCCAAGATCATGATGCTGATCATTCTCATTGAGATAGACCAATCGAAGTATCTTCGAATGATCCATGTTGGCGTCCGAGGGTTCGCCTCATCCATTGACGAGCTCATGGAACTCGAAAACGGCCCGAAACGGGCGAGGAATATGGAGCTCGTGGTCGATCCGATTACCGAAGACGATCTATTGGCGAATCGAAGTGCAATGGTTAGTCGAATACCGTATCTGGATCGAATGTCACTCATTCTCCGTGATTTGAGAATATCGAGACCTCTTACGCATTGACCTTCTTTGATCCATTCGCTTCATCGTCGTCGCGTTCAGAATCTCCTGATAATATTTGCGATTGCATGACCAGACGTTGATGTGAGTTGACCTCCCTAATAAGACTGCGCGGTTCGGCCGCTCTCCGATTCGACTTTTCCTTCCTGTCTCACCGTCTCGTCCACACAGAGAGAGAAAATATCCCCGTCCTGCGCCGCGTCTGAACTGAGCTCGACTCTTAACTCGCTTCGGCCAGTCTCGAATTTTATAATTCTATAACAAAATATAATTCTTCTCGAATATTATAATTCTGTAATACAATATAATTCTGCAGGATAAGAATAATTCAGGGGAGAAATATCTAGGACTTATGAGCTAGGACGAGACACAGCTTTCGGAAAATGTGGATTTCCGCTGTGCTCTTTACGAAAATCATCGTCGCTTTGACTCCCGTGTCTGCAGGACCGATTCCGGAGGCTCAGCGGAAATTCGACGCACCTCCTGGCAACATCACTGCGAGAGGCGTGTCTGGAATCTTTAGCCAGGCCATCAACGATGTAATTCTCGGTGAGTGCAAAATATTTCAATATTCATCTTCCATCCTCATCTATCGATCGGACCCGAGTCCTACCCTTCCGTTCCTTTCCGCTGGAGTCTAATTATCATTGTCTCGCTTTCCGATAAGGTTTCTTATTTTCATCAATCTTGCTCTCGATCGCGAATAAGGTGAAGCTCATCGCTTCCGACTGGTTCGGAAGTGAAGGTTCGCACGGTATCAACTTCATAAAGGAAGTGCATGAGCCCTACCGAGATGTCGAATACTACGATAAAGACCATCCCGAAGAGGGACCGTATGACCCCGAGGCAAGTACTTCACGCATTCAGCATAAACCGATATTCTAGGTTCATTTATTGAAATTGAATTGTATGTATATTCTCAACATCAATCTCTATCACTGTCGAATGTATAATAATTATGTCCTATATCAATGTATATATAATCTAATGTATATTATCAATATGGTCTACCCAGGACGACGACGCTGAAGGAATGTTCGATGACGACCTCGACGGATTCGACTTCCCAGAAAATGAATACAACGGTGAGCTGAGCTTCCAGCGATATCTCTAGATTCCTCTTCTCCTATGCATGAAAAGCAGTAAAATAAGCGGGGTTCTGGGTCAACAGATGAACCTCAAGCCGTGGACGAACAGGCGGCGCCGATGACGGAAGGGAATCCCCTAGCGGGAACGCCGCCGGATGCACAGACGGTCCCGGAGATCGGCGTTCTACCTGAACCTGGAAATTCTAGACAGTCTCCGTAGGAGCCCCCCTTCCCGCCCCCATTGGTCAAGATGACGTAGCCGGAGGTTGATGTCCCGTTATTTTGGGATAGTGCTCGATCGCGGATCTGCGAATCGTGTGTGCCTGGCCGGCCGTTGATAGCATGAGACATGCCTTTGAGATTGTGACCCGTCGAAAGAAAGAGGCAAATACCATCTGTCATTTGCGCCGGCGGTGATGAAAACGGCAACCAATCCAGATCGTAATATAATGGATTCAGTATTTGTCGTATACGCTGCATTGAACACCTCGATTATTCGACCATGCCGTCACATCTGATTTTCAGCAGAGTTCCCTCCAAGGGAACGCGGGAGACGTCTTCGGCAATCGATTGATGTCATATTTCTTGGGAGTAACTCAGAAGCAGGCTTGCATGCTCCCGTCCTAATTGGACGAGCACAGAGCGGGGCTAGTTGCTGGCGGAAGTACCGAGAGTTCCCCCGTGCTGATGATCGAGCTACCTGACTTCGGCCTACTCGGAAACATATGTCCTTTGAAACATACAGAGATAGTTCGACGAACATTCCGGAGAACGAATTTTTTTGATGAAGGGACGAATTTCGTCTCCTCCCCGCAAAGTATCGTCCATCGTGGGGCGGGATCCGAACCCTCGATCCCACTCTATGATGTCCAGTGCGAAACTCGACAGTGAGAAACTCAAAGGCAACAGCGGGACCGTACCTCCAAGTTGATATAGTAACGCTGTGCGAGAACGAATTTTTCATAGCTCCGTGGAACGGATGAGGTTCTCTAACCGAGGTTTCACCGTATTTCTGACAACCGCGATCTAGCTTAGGTGTCTTGTCTTGCATCGCTAATGAAGCCGAACTCTTCTGACGCCCACCCAAGAAACTCGATGCGACCCACACTCTTAGAGGAGCGCTTAGACCAAGGGTATTAATTCGGCGGATGGTGCGGTGAAAGCTCCGAAATTGGGATTGGAATCATCAAGAGCACGGATCACCCAGGCTCAACCCAGCCCGACGCCGCACCGACGTCAACAGTGTAATCAATGAACGACGGAATGACCTCTCGTGATTCTGGTCTCCTGACTGTCGATAGTGGCGATTCACGCCCATGATCAAATCCAGACGATTGCTTTCCAGTCGAGAACTCATGTCTCCATCAGATCCGACCCAAAGAGACATGATCATCGAGGATCCACCCGAATCTCTGCGACAATGACTGCGCCGAATTCGGGGGCGAGTCCCGGAGTTTTTCCTGACGGGTGGAGCATGAGTCTCCGAGAATAGCTCCGATACGGATTGGAATAGGTCGACGGGAGAGCCATTAGGCGAAAGAAGCGAAGTAAATGGGAGGGACCAGCCAGGAGTCCTCCGTCCCATCCCACCCGTCGGTGTGTGCCTCTCCCTGAGTGCGATACGCGTAGACATTTCGGGCGTGGCGCCCAAGGGACCGTCGCTGCTGATCCGGAAAGCGAGGCAAAAAGAAGACGGGGTTCGACCCCTAATAAGAGCGGAGGACACGATGAGTTCACATGGAGGTGCTCGAGCTAAGTCTCAATCCAAAATTAGAACCTCCCCTAATCACGATCAGAAGACGATCCGCGAAGGTACTCACAACCTCTGAGCGGAGCGCCCCATTTGGCCACGACCGTTTGGTCGCGAGACATTCAGCCGCGCAACCGTTTGGCCGCGGTCTGGATTTGGTGGAAATACCCCTAGTGATTTTGAAGACGTTTCATGTCAAAAAACATGAGCGGTGATATGATGCGGAATGTAGGTAGCGCTCATGCCACGTTTGACATGCATGAGATCGAACGGGATTCTCTACGTGTTCATGCCAGCGTGCCTTGATTCCGTGACGTGAACACGTGGTTTGACCAAACCTCTCCCTCCGAGCACTGGCCTGAACACATACTTTCTTCGAAGTTTCGGAGTATTGACACTTTCCAGTGAGTATAGGGATATCATGATGGATCCTAGCTCGAGAAAGTTTATCGAGTGCCTATACTGCATACCCGTGGATTCCGAACGGTAATCCCTTTCTCGGATGCGATGGTTTGGTGCGCGTATGCGCTCAGGCTGACCGAATACGGTCGAAGTAAGCACGATCCACTCTTCTTTTCCTCATGAACAAGTCTTCACGGGACTTTTCGAAGGATACTAACTTCAGAGCGGCGATAAAATTTCTGCCCTCCAATTTATTGCTCTTATCAACGAAGCAATCCATACTTTTTGGAATGCTTGATTTCACACAAAGATTTGTACGTCTCCGCAGTCTTGTCTCAAAGGCTATCATAACCTTTTCGATTGACAAGAAGAAGTGGCTACACTAGTCATCGGTCATTGTCCACAAAGAAAACACGATGAAGGTTTCAAACCCCAACATGAAACGTGGATGCATTAGCGCATTGAAGTCCCAGCCCCTGTCGCGTTGGACGCCTCAATCCTGAAATTTTTCGCCACCTCCCGCAAGAATTCGATCGTCGTTCGGCTCTTGTATTCATGTACAATCTTCAGGATGCGCTCGTAAGCTGCGATATACTTTCTGCGTTTCTGGTCGGGTTGATGACTTGCCACAAAACGTCCGTAGTCGACCTCCCGAGCCTGCTGGACGTTTCGCAAAGCATCGATGAATTTCCACAGGCTCGGGTGGTCTACTCCGAACTCGCCTTGCAGCCGGGCGACTTCGTCGAGATCGCTCGTTCGGCCATCCCCATTCAGGGTGCGTTGATATACGGACCACATAGCGATCGGAAGACGCGGATCTGCGGGAGATACTTCTCCACTGGGTGCCAATCATAGGCGACCAACATAGTTGTGTCAGAAGCATAATATATCAGAGACATCTGTGGTCAGGTGCACGTTTGAATGATCGTCACCATTGGGCCCAATGACGTCAGTCGAGAATTGGGTGTCGTGGCCGACGGCACGCGCGACGCTCAGTCAAATCGAGTATTCGCCCAATAAATTAGTGAGGTGAAATAAGTCGAGCATTCCTACCTTCAAGCCATTCCCCAGCGTAGGAGTAGTTATCACAAGGATAGATATCTTCAGGAAGTTCCAAGATGGAGGACAAATTAGCATCCATCTTAGTGGAATGTTTCAAGCGAGCGCTCGCAAATGAAGCATCAAGAGAAAATAGATGGTCCGAGGCGTACACTCAGAGTGTGCTCTTCACGAAGTTGGTTAATCCCGCGGCATTTTGGTAAAAGACTTAGGGCAGCAAGGTACTTGGCTTCGAGGAGTTGAAAAGGGGATTCGGGGAGGCGTATGTGCCTCAGGAAGATGCAGGCAAATTGACTTTCTCGTTGTAACAACACCTGAAGCCTTCCCTTATAGATCCTTCGCACGAAATTTCTGAGATTCGTCACTCTCGGTCGTTCATTTTCTCAAGTCGTCCCACGGCGGCAAAATTGTACCGCGACCAAACGTCTCGCGGCCAAATGGGGTGTTCCGCCTCCGAGAGCGTGCGCCGTGAGCCCGCCCCGATTGATTGGACCCCCATGAGAATCGAGGAGCGGAGCGGCACTTTCATCGGGTACCGTGTGGGGTTTCGCTGGGGTGCAACTCGAAATTTCGTCCCTCACACTTCTCGTTCTTCTTTTGCAGGATACGAATACACTGTACATCGGAGGCGACGATGACCTTCGCTCTTAGCGACCCTGGAGACTCTTGTTTGTCATCCATCCGAAGCGATCTCGTCCAGCACGAAGACTGACCCGCAGGCCGCCGACCGTGTTCCGCAGTACACCTCGGAAGTGACCCACTAGAATTGATCCAGGGAATCTCGTTCCTTCAAGCAAGTTCATGAAATTCGTGATGAGGGCCATCAGCTTCGCGGTCTTGGTGATCCTGGTTTGCCCTCCGATCTTCTTCAGACTACCGGCTTTCCTCAAGGGGGCTAATCGGAGTGATCGAAGTCCTCAGGAAACGCCACCAGGTGAGTTTTTCGATCGATGGGATTCGTTTCGTATCGAAAATATGTTTTGGAATTCCCTCGCCCTTCTCGGCTCTCATTGTTTGACTTCTATTCACGTGGGCCGACCTCGTTTATCTGGATACTAATCAGGGCAAATGATCTTTGTGTAGACTTATAACGCTACCATATTGAGCCGCCGACCATGACGTCTCTGTTGGCAGAGGGGGACGAGCCCGTCCGTGTGGTTGTTGGTACGAAAGAGGAGCTACAGGAGTTAGAAAAGATAATTGCGTTCCCTCGATGAAATGCGAGAGCTTTTGAAAAATTCATGGACGCGCGAGCATTCTCGAATCCTGCTCGGAGATGACGCTCGATTTCTGTAATTTACGCCGGCGGTGATGAAAGCGGCAACCAATCCAGATCGTAATATAATAAATTCAGTATAATCCACATTTTCCGGAAGCTGTGACTCGTCCTAGCTCATGTTTCATAGATATTTCTTCCCCGAATTATTCTTATCCTGCAGAAGATTATCCGAGACTGGCCGAAGCGCGTTGAGGGTTGAGCTCAGTTAAGACGCGGCGCAGGACGGGGGCGTTTTCTCTCTCTGTGTGGACGAGACGACGAGAAAGGAAGGAAGACTCGAATAGGAGAGCGGATGCTGCCCACCTAGAGGACGAGGCGTCGATGTTGAATGAATATCGCTTGCTTCGTCGTGACTATCCGAAAATTTCCGGGATCTCCCTTTCCGCCGATACGCTTTGCAAGATGTTCAGTCAATCAGTGGGTCGGGTCTCGGCGATTCTCAGACTCTCGGAGTGCAACCCCAATTGTTTGAGTAGTCGATGGGGCTCTCATTCATATGTAGACAGAAGATGATCTCAGACAGTGCGATTTTCACGAAGCACTGCGACGATCGGGACCGGTTCCTCTATTTCTGCCTGTCCTCCGAGTTGCAGGGTCTTGATACTCTCAACCGATTGCTCTCTTCGTAATGTCTCCCACTCTTTCAGGCAGGATTCGGCAGCTCCCCGATTAGAGTCGATTTGGAGCAAAAGACACGTCCCCCCGAGTGCGAACGCTACGAATCTGAGAATTGCTCGATCACGCGCGATACTGAATTTTGGGAATGAATCTTCCTGGAATAACCTAACTAGACGCCAATTGATGGCGCTGAACATTTCACCATCAGAGAGAACCTCAACCGGATCGAAGGATCTCAGAGTTCGTCAGAAGCGATCACGAGAAAAAAAACGATCGCGGCTCCTCTCATCACTCATATGGGATCTCCGACTCCGCTCCAAGCAGTCGAGAACTTCCGGGGAGATATCCCGAGGCGTCTGTCCTAAGCGTTTGATAA